CCAGGCGCAGCACAGGCTGTGACTACACACGGCAGAAAACTCACATAAACTCCTTGAAATTCAACAGATATCTCAAATATAGCTTACTCTTGGTTCACCGTTTCACTGCCAAAGTTATAAGAAAATGTTCAAACACATTTATATCGCTAGTGTTTAGCTCATTGCATGTATGTAAATACGAACTTATCTTAGCATAACCGACTATAGCATCAGCAATATAATACACTTACCGATATGGAAATCCGTTTATTTCAGCTTGTGTTCCGTGTAAGCTGCTAGGCTGATGGATTTATTAATTAACCTAGAGCTGAGAACTTTGGGTAAGAACGTGAGGTTAGGTCTCAACAACACGTATCCAGGCTCCACTGGAGACACATGAGGCTTACAGAAGGTGTCTGTAGCTCAGACACATTTAGCCGTGGAAACAGTAGGCAAAAGGGCTGTCTTTAAGGAGACCCACTTAAGAGCAGCCTCATCCAGAGGTTCAAACGGCGTGTGACACAGCACCAAAGGGCGGTTCCAGGGTGGTGCCCTAAGTGATCAGGGTGGATACAATCTCTTCACCTCCTTTAGAAAGGTGGTCACCAGCTTACGAGATCCCAAAGAGAAGCCCTTGGATAGTGCCAAACAACCAGGGCTGTCACTAAAGTTTTAGGGTAGAGGAGGTCCTTTCCTCATCAAGCAGGGACTACATAAAGGAAAGCAATACTTCGATGATATACAAGAATAGGTCTATCTGGATGTTCAAATACCAGTTGCTAAATGCCCTCCATCTACCCTTCTATAGAGCGTAGATGGAGGGAGGCTCTGGCATTCAGGATAGTGTTTCTAATCATCCCCAGTGCAAATACCTGTGCAGCAGCTTTGAGGAAACCCTGAAGCCATGGTAGTGTCAGATGTGGCAACTCTGAGCTCAGTTTGAGGCAACAGAATTGCTGAGAATCACTGATAAATGACAGAATCACTCAAGCCCGCTCCCAGGACAACAATGCTGCCATAGACTGTGACTTAAAAAGCATACCTATAAACCGGATCAGCCGCGATGGCAGGAGTCAGCTCTTCACCCGGTTTACAGTGAGGCCTAAAACTTGAGTATGCTCCAACAATTTGTGTGTACTTGATTGCTCATTCCTTGAAGGAGGCTCATACAAGCCAGTCATCCAGGTATGGCAGAATTTTTAAACGCTGAGCCATCCAGGGGGACAGCGTAGGTAGAAGGTAGCTGGTGAAGACAACTTCTATATCACCCCTTGCCAGGAGGGAACTGACTTCCTGAGAAAGTTTAACAAACAACAGTGACCCTTGGCCAACATCTGAGTGGGGGCCTGTGATGAAACTGTAGCCTGTACTCCTCTGACATAGTGCGAATGACCCATTGGTCTAATGCAATTTCCAGTATGCCAGGTGTTGGGAGGACATGATTTCTGTTACTGACAAGGCCCGTCAACAGCAGGTGCCTTCTGTGTCTCGCCATGAGATGCATTACGGACTGTGTGCAGCTGAGGAGGTGCTCCTGGCTTTGGGCAGCCGGTGTTGGGAGTCTAGGAAAAGCTAGAGCGCAAGTCCATCCTCTGGAGATCACGTGACAGAAGGGAAGCAGCGCCAGAGGGGGTGGGGGTGGTGGGTGAAAATGAAATGTCTTTTTCATATTCTCCAGTTTGCCTGATTCTGAGAAGGCCATTGCCATTGAATACAAATATATTTGATTTACAGCCTCCTGAACAGCCAGACCAAACAAGTGGCCAAGCACAAGCTGCAGAGTCCAAAGTGTGGCCCTACATGAGTCAGATAAAGATGTTTGTGCTACCCAGAACTGCTGTTGACTTTGTGTAAGGGTAGCTATCAACCAACCAGTGGTTTCAGCTAAATAGCCCACTATCCCCATCATCAGAAGGGCGGCTGTAAAGTCAGCAAAAAATCTTGACAAACAGGCATGAAGAATTTCTCCTTGGTTGCTGTGTATTTGGAAAAGGCACTGGCTCTTGGTGCATGTGCTGCCGGCATGTCCAGCTGTGGCTTACCCAAGGCAGTCTTCACAGCATTGTGTACCTGATTTGCTGATGTTGGTGTAGATGCTGGTGTTGGTGTAGATGCAAAAGGGCTTGATTAGGGCAGGCTGGCCGATGTAACTAATAGTGCTATTAGCTTAGTTTAGTTAGCAAAACTAGTGCTGTTCAAGGAGGACTGGTAGTTGTGACAGGAGCCAGTAAGTACTATCATGTGGGGAGTTCTCAGAAGAAACTCAGACAACTCAAAGTTCTTGTCCATAATGCAGCTTTACTTTGGCACAGCAAACAGGATATAGGAGGGGAAAGTCACCCTCAGCCTAGCTTATGACTCTTACTGTTAGCTGGCTAGTCTCTCTCTCAAGCTATAACCACCATCTTGAAGAACGTAGACCCACCCTTGAAAATAAAAGTCCAAAAAACAACCCAACCTAACATGAAGAAAACACCTCTTTTTTATTAAACTTAATAGAACCAAGCATAACTGATGCCACATTGCCCATGGCTGCTGGGGTATCATGGTCCTCCTGGGTCACCAAGGGGATTTCAAAGCTGGGGTGCTGATGAGGGTGCAGCTCGTGTGCTCTGCCCACAGCCCTCAGGGATTCAATGACTGACATACGTGCTGCATTTTCAGCTCCCCCAGCATTTGTGGCTTCATTCATGAAAAGCCATGGTGGCCTTGATGGCGCAATCTGCCCCACCAACAGGCTCTAGTGCTGCGTGGTCAGCTCTTCCAGAGCTGGTGGCTTCCTCCATGGTGAACAAAGGCCACAATGCCAGGGAGCCACCACTCTCTGCCTCGACTCCACTAACTGCCACAAACACCTTCACTTCTCCAAGCCCAGCATGTCCTTCCTGAGGTCAAGCACGGCCCTGGCCACCGCAAGGGACTCCAAACCGAGTATGAATGCATCCTGGAAAGCGTGAGCCAGAACTAGTGCACTTAGCTCAGGCCCCCCACCATCTTCTTGGCTGGCTTCCATTTCCTCATCAGCTTAGATTCACAGAATTGACTGGCGCAGCATCCCCTTAGCGTTGGTAGCATTGTGTTGCTTGCTGCACCGCCCCCTTGCCACTGCAGAGATTGCTTTGGCTACCGTGGTTGCCAAGTCACATCAGGGGCAGAGACTATAGGTAGAGACAATGGGCAATGCTGTCCCATTGACAGCCGTAGGTCAGCTATTTCCTCAGCTCACCTCTCACCAGCACACCATGTATCTTCAAGAGGGCATACTGTTCCCCCCCAGCCCCCCAGTTGCCCATGCTTTGCAGCAGTTTCCTGCTTTCTTTTGCTATCTTCAGGAGAGCATACTCTTCCCAGGGCCACTGGGCCTGGTTCTTCTCAACTTTTTTGTCCTCTGCTGGCCTCACCTCCCTCTGCCACACCAAACCCCTCTCGGTGTGGGCAAATGGGGAACCCCACCAGATCCATGCCCTGCCACTGGGAACAATCTCTTGATGCCATTTTAACTGGCACTTCTGACACCATTATGTTATGGGGAGTTCTCAGAAGATGCTCAGACAACTCGGCTCTTAATCTTAGCTGACACCACTATACATAAAGGTTCAACAGGTAAATAACAAATGAATGTTTCACAAACAAACTGCCTTCATCACCATTTGTCTGCCACAGTAAACTATAAAACAACTCTTTGTTCGTGTTACACAGCAGCCTGTTTAAGATTTAAAGGAAGATGTCTATCAACGGCTCTAAAAAGCGCTCTTAGTTCATAGGACAGTGACCGTAGTTTGTAGCCATGGGTATTCAGTTTGTAACAGATAACATATCTGCCAAATGTGGATAAAAACATTTATACATTTATATATTTATAAATTGGATAGGTCTGGTCTTAAATATTATTGACTGAGCCACATTGGAAGCCATCATAAAATACATGATATATGTACATCTATGACCACCTCACAACAGCTGAATTCTGTATCACTGACTCACATGATGAAAAATCCTTAGAATGTTAATGAAATAATCTTTGACTCTAATGCTTTTTGCATGAACAACTGAGTGTACTGATGAAGTAAGAACCCAGTTTGATTTGGTCCTGACTCTCTGGTAGACATTTTCTAGAACCCTCTGGGAGAACACATGATTGTGACATCGCACCAGCCCAAGTATCAGAGATCTGCCTCACCTGTTTCTCTTATCATGTGATTAGTCCAGTTAGTATTTAAGCCCGAGCTTTAGCTTAGCTCAGTGTGAAGTATTGCTTGGTTCACAGAGCTACTGAGCATTCTTTCCCATGTATTCACTGACTTTCTGTGCAACTGACTGATCCATGTTTTTTGACTTTGCCATTTTGCCTGCTCCTTGCACGGATATTATTTTGTTATGTTTATCTATTTTTGTATCTGGCTTATGTTGGATTGACCTCTGCCCGGTTTTCAACTATGATTGGATCATATTCAAACCAGTAAAGCCTCCTCAGTGTATTTTCACCACACATGTCTGACAACTTCTGTCCCATTACAAAGAGTTACATGAAAAGTAAGAAACAACTAGCTGTTTAGCACAGAAAGTCAAGATTAATTATCACATTTTGGTATCGGTGTAGCAGCAGCATTCAAATACAGTGCGAATGTACTTACCTCATGCTATTTACCTCATAAAACTGCAATGCAGATCAGAAGAAATAAACATAATATATTGGCCGATTGCTAGCTTTGTGGCTTTGTGTAAAATTTGCTGATTCTAAATCTGACTGTGTATCCCTTTGCAACTGAGTAATTGATTTGTTTTAGTTAGTAATTAATTTAAATTATAACGGTAATCTAAGCTGTTTGATTCAGGATGTGTTGAAGATCTGAACAGTGAGATCAAACTGCTGATCAGGGTGACAGAAAATGGCCTCCTGAGAAAAATCATTGCATTTATTCTTCTCTTTGTTAAATTCAAGTCATTCACACAACTTGGTTTTACTCCTATTTTGATTGTGACCAAAATCAAAAATTAAATATGTTGATGAAATGACTTACACATGTGTAAATTTAGGCCTTCTCTCTGCTTCTGTACCTTCATCATCCTCTCTTTTGCTCCCTCTATCTCTGCTCTCCTCTTCTCTTCCACCTCCTGAAGAATCTTTCTGTCCATTTCAAAATGGCGTCCACTGTTTGCTGCCACCATCTCCTCTATCTTCTCCAGCAGCTCTGTGACCTGAGTGTCATCACTCCTGTTCTTATTGTTGAGAACATGATACCTGTTCCCACATTTCTCAACCAGCCACTGAAGCTCCTTCCCTTCACTCTCAATGTGTTGCTCTATGGGTGTGTCTAACAGACAGTCTCCATAGGTGAACAGGACTATAGTGTGACTCCAAACTGAATCAGTTAGAAGATTCAGATATCCTTCTATTATGTTTCTATAATTCTGTTTAAAAACACTGTCCACACGTATGATCAGCAGCAGACAGTGAGGTCCTGGAGGACACAGAGATACACTGAGCACAATCTCCTGTTTCAGTAACTCAGTGCTCTCCTCTACAGGTTTATCTCGCCACCATCCTGGAGCTTCAACCACAGTGATGTGTCTCCCTGCTACTTCTCTCTGTCTCTTCACACACTGAGCAGTTCTCTTTAACTCAAACTCTTCTCTGTTCAGGATGGTGTTTCCTGCTGAACTCTTCCCAGAATATCTGTATCCCAACAGCACAATCCTCAGCTCTGAGAGACAAGGTGTATCAGGTGTACCTGTAAGACAAAAACAGACGTTTGTTTTATTATTGTCTAGGGAATTAAAAACTCATCAATTACTGCTAATCATTCTGAAAGCTAAAATCCTGAATGTTTACATGGTACTATAAATTTGTTATCACACTTACAACTCTAGTGGTGAGCATATAGACTTGCTGCTCTGGTCACTGCTCGGTTTTTGACCTAAAGCTCTGACAATGCTGGAAAATGATCCAGTGCATTTTTGGTACTTATACAAGCTGTTTATGATAAGAGGTGTCTTAATAACCATCTAAAAAGTCTGTGAATTCATAAGCTGTATAAGAAAATCTATTAAAACATATGATTATGGGGTTATGGAGAAAGCATTACATTCAGATTTGGTTTTAAGAGGATTTTATTTTCAAGTGAAAGTGCAAACATTTGTGGCAAGACATCCCCACAGGGCCACTTAAACATATTAGTCTAAAAATATTATTCATAGATTCAAAGGCACAACTGTATTGACTGGAATATCACTGGCTAACTAGTATTAGTATTACATGCTTTTTAACCAGAAATGGGCAACATTTTTATATCGTTTTACTGGATATTAATTTGTAGGTGAGTGTAGCACACCATGTGCTACGCTGGGCTCAGGAAGGATGCTGGAGGCAGGGTTCAGGGTCACAGCAGCCAATTCTACTTTATTTTTCACTCCAAACAAAACAAAACAAAACAAAACAACTCACAGCCAAAGCTGTCCACTTTTCACTGGCTTCAAACAAGACTTTTCAGTCCTTTTCTCCGAAACCAAACCTATGCTAGGCATTTTTCAGTGCCCTTTAAAGCTACACTTTTCAGTCCCTTTCTCACTCAAACTTTTCAGCTCTTCACTCTGTTGCTGCTGCTCGTCCCTCCTCTCTCCCCCTCTCTCTCTTCCCCTGCCTCCCTCCACCCAGGGATAAATTAAAGGACGGATCAACATACTCGAAGATGGGCGGCAAAGAAGACATAGCCAAGAAGAAGGGGGTACTGAGCACTATGCCTGCCCCCTCCCAGATGAGGTGAAGGAAACAGTGTGGCGAGGCTTGACAGCAAAGCCATTTACATTACATTTACAGCATTAAGCAGACACTCTTATCCAGAGCGACACACAAAAATGCTTTGTTGTCTACTCAGAGAAAGTATCTTTGCTAGTTACAAATAGGTTAAAGAGAAAGCTAGTCCTGAGCTCAGACATTGCTAAAAACAAAAGCCTATGTTGATACTATAGTAAAAGAAACATAATCAAATATAGCACAACACAATACAATACATTTCAATAAGTGCAGTACAATACGTTTCAATAAATATTTAACTTGCTCACTTAAGTGCTGTAAAAAAAAGGGATGTGTCTTGAGTCTGCATTTGAAGACCACAAGAGAGACTGCTGTTTGGACAGCCAGTGGGAGACGCTTGGCTTCCATGCGTCTTGAAGGATGGCGGATCAAGCCAAGCTGTACTTGAAGCTCAAAGGGCTCAAGGTACAGTTTGAGTTTTGAAAAAATTGCCATCAGGTAGGGAGGGGCTGGTCCGTTTTTGGCTTTGTAGGCAAGCATCAGGGTTTTAAATCTGATGCGTGCAGCTACAGGAAGCCAGTGAAGGGACACAGCAGTGGAGTGACATGATTGAACTTGAATGCTGCTGCATTCTGGATGAGTTGCAATGCAGCTGTGTCTAGCCCTGGAGGGGAAAGCACTATAGGTGCTTGTGGATCTTCTGCTGGAACAACATGACAACTTAGCAGTGTTGACCATGGCCCTCCAGTGATGCTTAAGGCTCACTTTAGCCTTTCCAGAGGCAGAGGCTAAGTAAGACTGAACAGAGTGGACACGCTGCTGCCAGAGGAGCTTAGATGGCACATGCAGCTCCCTGCACAGGTCAGCCTTCAAGCAATCACCACAAAGCCAGGAAGATCAGCTGCAGCTGCAGACTTTCAGTTGAATGCTGCATATACAGGAAACAGCTCAGTGCTCTCACTGACACTGGCTTGTCAGTGTCACTGCTGGGTCTAGGTGTGTACCCTCGCATCAAGAGCAGCACTCTTGCCAACTAGGAAGCCATGACCATCCAAGGCAAGTTTGTCACAGCAGCAGAGTCGACGTGAGAGGGAGGAGAGGGCTCTCATTCATGGTGAGGAGCCAGGGCCGGGGGCAACCCACACAAGCAGCATCTCCATCAACATAGATGGTGCAGTGACCGATGTAGAATGCGGAGCGCGTCTGAGACTCCCTGTAGCACTGGATGCTGTGAGGAGTACTGCCATGCCCAGGAGGATGCACAGGTTTCTTGAGCATGTTTATGGCTGCAGGTGGGACAGAAACTGGGTTGGACAGACATGATGCCACACAGGCCCATCGCTATGGCTGAGAGAGCCTCTGGGTGCTCAACGAGATGCTGTTTTGTGTTTGGGAGGAGCCAGTGCCGGGGAAGCATTTGTGGCAGCTGCTGGTGCCGCAGAGCCTGAGGAAGATGGTGCTGGGTGTGATGCATGGGGTGGCTGGTGTGGGGCAGGTCAGTGTGGGTACAACACTGAAGGGGTTGCAGCAGAGGTTATATTGGCTGGGCTGCTACACGAACAAGCTGTATGTGCATTGCTGCGACCACTGCATGGCAAAGAAAGCACCGCTGCTTCAGGTTTTTTACTTTAGTCAGTATTTGTGTTCAAGGAGGGTGGACTTTGCAGATAAGTAGTGGGTAGTGTTTACCTTCCTCGAATGTTGTGTCCTCTTGCATTACCCTGCCCTGTGTTTCATGTTGGGGTAGCAGTGGGTGGGCATAGCACTGAAGTGCCCGTTCAATAAAAAAGCATATAAAAGGTGTGAAGAACCTGTTCATTAACGAGACGATGTGCCAACCGGCCCCTAAGCGAGTGGCGTCAGAGCGACTGGAGTCAGTGCTGGGTAAGCATTTGTGGCAGCTGCTGGTGCTGCGCAGCTTGAAGAAGACAGTGCTGGGCGTGGTTCATGAGGTGGCTGGAATGGGGCACATCAGCATGGGCAAGACAGCATGGGGTTGCAGCAGAGTTTCTTCTGGCTGGGCTGCTGCACAGATGTGGAGCTGTCCGTGGACAGGCTGTTACTGAGGTGCCCCAGAGCCTTTGATAAGGCTGGTTGGGCCGCTGGGATGGCCAACCCTTGCGGGGGGGTGTGTGGTGTCTGCCACATGCTGCCATGAAGATCTTAGGAGGTGTGGCAATGCAAAGTGGCTCTCGGGAAGCGCCACACTCCACACATAAAAAGAGGCATTTGCTGTTGTTGTTGCTGTGTGGTTTAGTGGAAGTTGCGTTTATTGGAGTAATTGCATCCAAGGAGGGTGGGTTTTACAGAGAAGTAGTAATAAGAAATGTCTACCTTCTTCAAAGCTCTGTTTTCTCACCATACCCCTGCTTTGTGTTTCGTGTTGGGGTATCGTTGGGCTGGGCATTACTAGTCTTTGTAAAGACTCCCAGCTGAAGTGTCTGTTTAATAAAGAGCATTAGCTTATTAAAATGAAGCGGCATCATTCAGACTGTTACGACTCCTGGTCACAATATTCCTGGCGTTCGTTGTCTTCTGCTGCTGCTTTACAGTGTTTGTGTCTATGTTGTAGTATGTGCAAGTCTGTGACTGACCACATGGTATTGCCTTCCATTGTAAAGAGGATGAAAAGGCACCTCCTGGGGTGACATTCAGGGCGCTGTCTCCTCTGACATAACTATGGAAGTACACCTGTCCACACCAGAGTTTGTGAGTGTAGTGGAAGACATTTTTGCTTCTTGTTCTGTAATCACTTATCTCTGGGTTTTCTATTTCCCTTTCCTTGCTCAATTATCAGAGAAAACATGATTTCTGTTCCTATGTTACCAAATCAGCCACTGGAGCTCCTTCCCTTCACTCCCATTGTGCTGCTCTAAGGGTGTCTCCCCCCAGACAGTCTCAGTAAGTGAACAGAACTGAAGTTTGATCCCAGACTCTAAAAGTGGGTAACTTTAGGTTCCTTAGTAGTTCTTTCATGACTTCATTTTGAAATGTTTTGCTCAGATTTACCACCAACAGTACAGCACAGGGCCCTAGAGGACACAGACATACCAAGCACCATTTGAGTAGTCTTGGTTTCCAAAGTCCTGACTTTGTTCTTCTCCCTCCTGAAGCTTCAACCACAGTCACGTGTCTCCCTGCTAGTTCCCCTTCTGTTCACACAGTGAGCAGTTCTCTTTAACTCAAACTCCTTTTTGTTTAGGATGGTGTTTCCTACTTACTCTGCATTTCCCACTAATAAAATCCTCAGCTCCGAGAAACAACGCTCTGACCCCACAACAAAATAAAGCACATACATTATCAGAACTGATTAAGGTGTGTATAAGGAATCTTGCCTTTGTCAAATGTTAACTTTGAAGAAATCAATGGGAAAATGAAAGTGCCGCATTTAAAAAAATGACAGTTTTTATTGGAGTATTTTAATGAAGATACACTAACCCAGTGTTCAATATATCATAGCCCATAGGTCTCACTGATGACTCCTCATATGTTATCATTAAGTCCAAATGTAATGGTAATTTGTAGAAACTTAAAAAAT